TTGGGATCCGGACCGGTCCGGATATTCCGGAATATTCCGGTTTTCCGGAAGTCCAGAAGGGACCGGGAGGTCCGGGGTCCGGGGTCCGGATTCGGTCCGGTGTCCGGTCCGGCGTAGCTATGGTTCGCCGGGCTCCTAGTAGAATTACTCAATTGTGATGTAGTCGGAGTTCTAGATCTCTGATTTCTTTTTTTTTCTTTTTTTTTTCTTTTTTTTTTTGATAAAACAGGTCCTTATGGTCCAGGCCCCATATCCATTCTGCGGCGCGTCAGTCCGGTTCCTATTCCACCGGCAAGTCAGAAATGTAGAAATACAACCTTGAACCCACGCGCGCCCCCTCCCGTGCAGCTGAAGGGTCCCTGATCAGCATTGATTACTCCACTAGATTGGAGGATTGACTGTCAGCTTGCCTTTCCCTGAGTCCCCTGAGCTGTGGGAATCTGTCAGTACAACGATAATGCAAGGAAAACAGAGATCAGAGCTGACATAACCCTGGAACATCTCAGGCTGCTCTGAAGTCTTGCTGTTGGTCACAATGTGAATTTCTTGTCTCCTGGGCAGCCACCGAGTTGTGCCAGTCTTGCCATCTGATTTGCAATCCGTGAATCTCAGTGATCTTTCCGTGGGCCAGCCAAATTCTCCTGAACTTTGATTCCAGCTCTTGCTGCTTCTCCAGGTCCTGCTGGATTTGGAGTTTGACTTTCCTCCATTGGGAATCTCGCTGAAGCCTATATTCCAAGTACATACAGCAATTCAAGATCTAGAATTCGACCCAGACAAATGGGCTTGGACCTCAGGCAGTAACAGAACATACAAGACCCCCAGGCACATAACTCAGTACACAGTCAGAATGGGGTACAGACTACTACTGAAAACAAAGGACCCAGAGCCTGTAGTCAAAGAAAGATGGACCAAACTGCTAGGGCAGAGAATGGAGCCAATCTCCGAGTTGCTCTGGACGAAATACAAATCAATACGCCCAGTCAAAATCAGAAGTCTTCAATGGTTGATCACATACAATGCCCTCCCAGTAAACTCTTGGCTACACGTCCGTACAAAGAACAGCGACCCAAATAGTTCAGAACAATGTGTGGTCTGTTCAGAATACGAACAGGAAGATCTAATTCACTGTCCAATAACCTGCAAATTCGCTACTGACTTATGGGCGAGAGCCTCACTACTCTGGGGCCACCTCCTTCCCTCCTAACTTCCCGAACACCCGATCCAATTACTTTTATGGGCTAACATCCCTGCTCAATTTACCAAATCTGAACACATCTGGTCCGGGATAATCAGGAAGGTAACACTTTGGGTCATTTGGAAGGAGAGGTGTTGCAGGACCATCGACAAGTCCAGCAACCCGAGTGAACAGATATGGGCAACGACGAAACCTCTAGATCTCTGATTTCTGATTTCACGTTCAATCGCATCGGGATTGGTGATGCATACTCCCGTTTTTGTTTCTCGTTACTCCCGCCTTCAATCTCTACCACATCTGAATCAACTCAATTGCTTTTCTTCTTTCCTTTCTCCCACTCTGCCAACACCGCAGCAGTTCTCCTATCAACATTGTCTAGCTTCTCCGTGATGTTCAGAGTGCTGAAGGTGCCAAGGCCGCAAAGCAACAGAACCTACATGTCGCTGTTTCTCTCAGACCACTTCAATCACCCAAAAATAACCGGTAAGCAATGTCAAAATAATAGATAACCACATGGATTAGAACATCTTTTGCACACTACCCGTCTTCCACCCTCACACTAAGAGGCTGAAGGAAGGTAGGCACCAACCTCCACGGGCAAACTTCGATGCTGGAGGTTGGGCACACCCATTTGGCACCTGCAAAGAGACTTCATTAGTGTCTTCAGGGAGGGAGATTGCACACTGAGGTGGCGAGTGGTGTGAGAAGGTCCCGGAGGTGAAGGGGGAACAGGAAGAGACGTTTCAACTGTCCTATTGATTATTAGTCAAAATATCCTCCTTCCCTCTACCCGGACTACAGCTAGGGATGGCGCAGATTACCTGGCGGCCAGGAGGGCTGAACAGGCTGTATATGCCATGGTATATACTTTCTGATTCTATTATTGAGCCGAAGCTGGGTAGAGGCCCCGGTAATGGACTTAAACAACCAGTTCCAGCAGGTGAAGCTCCCCACCAATAGACCAGAGCATACCGTGGCAGGTACTGCTAGATGGGGATGCTCATACCACCCCCTCTAGCAGGCTGTCACGACATTTTTGAAAAAAATAAATAAATAAAAATCCTCCTTCCCTCTAACGCTTCTCTACCTTTGTCCTTCTTCTGGTGGCTTGCTGCTTACTCTGTGATATCATCGAGTGCTTCATTACTTGTTCTGAATTGCTACTGGTTCCATTTTGAGTGCACTGAGAATTCTTGCATGTTCCGTGCTGTTGAAGGTTCTCACGACTGTCGGGATCATTGCAGAAATAGCAACACRCAATTGCACTATTGTGCAAAAGAAGCTGATTGACACTGAAAGATGGCTAAATAGTGTACATTAGATCAACAGTGGAAAACTGGTCCTTCGACACATTCGTTGAAACTGGGACGGTACAGAGTACAGTAGCATCGCCCCTACGCAAATATAACACACTTCAATCGAGGAATAGTCCAAAAACAAAAGTAAACAAGAAGATTCAGGACATCCATCAAAATTGGAGTGATAGAGAAAGATTAGCATAGCCCCTTCATAGGGACAACACGGATAAATCGGAAAATTGTCCAAGTATGGCAAGTAATCCAAATGATTAATATACAGAAAAGAAAAAAGTGGGAGAGTGTTGAGCAGAGGTCGAGAGAAACCAACTTACAACAACGTACAGATGATGCAATCTTGCGTCCCAGCAATACATATTACACCTCCATCTGTAGAGAACTAATCCAGCCTTGCAGCGTCTCTGCTACTTCGCTTAACGGTGTTGTGAAGGTTGGTTGCAGTACATGATACGGCCTCATTTAGAAGAAGCACAGGGCAAAATTTTTGCCCACTTACACCTATATGATTGTACCCCATTTGTTCCCATAATGATCCAATACTTCTTCGAGTTACAGGACCTCTACGCCTAGACAGATCCTGGCACACTTTCACCTCCTTTTGTTGTTAGGCTCCATGTTAATCCCCTCAGGCTTCCATCTCTGTCCTGCAATGGTACTGCACCCTTACGATCAGAAGCACTGCACTGTGGCACTAGTTCACTTCCATTGGCCCATCATTAGGTGGATCTCACTGCAGCGCTCAAACTTCCCTTCCCTGCTTATGCCATATAAATCAAAGGCAGGAAGCAATGATAGCAATCACCAAATAAAGATTCCATCAACCCTCATCTTTTCCATGCCCCGCAGCAGCGCTCCATTTCAGCCCTTGATGTCGGAGAGGATGCCCGGGACCACCCACCATTAGTCGCTGGCTGCGCCTTCCCTCCGCATCGGGTAGATCTTGTTGCCAGCCGTGTAGACCTCCTGCCCCATCCATATGCACTTTACATTCTTCTCGGCCAAGAAAACAACGTCTACATAACGAACAGTATACTAAGAATCACACCACAAAGGTCTTTCTTCCACTAAAGGTGAAGGCAGATCAGAAGAGAAAGAAGAAGCAAAGATGTTTGTTTTGTCTTAGCCCACTTCATATAATAGGAAGGGAACACACAGATCCTAGAATGAGGTACATACAACATTTTCAAAGCTACGCACTGCAATAGGAAGAAGCACATCAAATGACATTCCCATTAATCCAGAGAGTTCGGTGATAAACAAACACTAGAGCATGTAAATGTTTGACACAGTGGACACATGTCGCATCACTTCCCAGTTTTACTGCCCCCTCCTTCCAGCCCACCAACAAATCCCGCCTGCAACACAGACCAACATCCGTTTCCACTTGCCTTTTCACCTACATAACAGAGCCCTCAGCCAAGCACATTCTTCAATTGCGCACCAGCATTCACAGGAGTAGCAAACAGACACATTCATAGCAAGCACTTCTCTTCTGCCCAACGTGCAAACCCTAAGACGCGGACCTAACGCTTCCCCCCTCCTCTTTTCTTTTCCTTTTCTTTTGCCTTTTTTTTTTTTTGTCAATCAAACTGAGGAAGCACTTTAATACTTGTGTATCAAATGTGTGCCCCAATGCGTTTTTTATTGTCGTGCGATCTCCTTCGTAGGCTTTTGCCATCCTCTTCCCCCGGCTAATCATTGCCCTCATCCCCGTGTACCATGTAGTCCCAATCGCATTTCGGCAAATGCGTACTTTAGAGAGTTTCATTTGGCCAAACGTAACATTTTAATTGTGGCAAGTTGCTCCAGAGTCCCCAGAACCCCAATGCACCTGCAAGAACATGCACAAACGGGAGGGGAGCTCTGCTGCGGATGGGACAAAGGCAAGAAGCATAGGGACAATGAGAGAGGAGGGAAAACAGTTCTGTAAGGAGACAGAGCGATACGAGTCACAATCCATGCATAGCAAGCTTGTCGTCCTCCATCTGCATGAATTTATAATTTTATATACAATAAATATTTTACCTGCATGTTACTCCATTCTGCTGTTCTGAAAACTTCCACACCACCTGGGAACCTCTAGGCATGTAACAATAGACACTTATAGTTGAAGAACATCCCAGCCTGGTGGTCTTGCAGAATCCCAGAAGGTGACTCTGCCACACACCAGCCTTACACACCAGTTTCATACTTCTCCACAAAACAAAACGGGAACAATGGAAACCTTTCCCTTCATTCTTTCTGGCATTTGTTCGACATTCCTGTAATCTATGAGCCTTCCTTGCGCAATATGATCCCAATAGACACAAGGTGATTTTGTGGACTGTCGACTAGAGGACAACCTCCAATCATGCATGCCATGCCAGCGCTCGTTGTGACTCAACCAATTGCTCCGTGAGGATTCTGAACTCCCAATGACAAGTATCCGCTGAGCCAATCCTTAAATTTCACACAAGAATGCAAATCAAACATCAACTCGCTGTCCAAATTTGGTCTGCGGACTTCTGCGGAAGCCATTACATGCGGAGTGGTTACTATACTTCTGGGATGATCTGGCAAAAGTATCTCTCATGGCGCAGAAGGCAACCAACCTCCATGTAGGCATTATATCATATAGTATCCCAATGAACACAAGATGACTTCTCAGACCTCGCCTAGAGGAGGAATCAATTACACACTCCTTATGCCCATAACACCCATCAGAATCTCAATCAGGTTTTCTGAAGTTGACTCAACCAATCATCCCTTTAGTATCCATTGAGCCAATCCTTAACTTTCACATAAAACATGCATATCCGAACACCAACATGCTGACCGATTCGGTCCGCCCTTCTGCTGCCTTCATTACATGCAGAGTGGTTACTATACTTTGATGATCTGGCAAAAATATGTTTCCTGGCACAGAACGCAATCAACCTCCCCTACCCTCCTCGTTGCCAATTCCCTAATGCTGCACACCACATCCCGTCTCATTACTAGACATAAACCACGTCTCCTTTGGTCCCATCTCCTCTCCTCAAACCCTTTCTTCCATACCCAACCTTGGCTCGGTTTCAAGTGTTCATCTTCTCTAAGCTGCATGCAGCGATGCACACACGGAGCCAAACATACAAGCACCTCACATCATGTTCAAAGGCAGGACATTCACTCCCCCTTCCCAGTGGATTTGGTAGGTACTGACCACCACTTCTTCTTGGTGCTGTGTCCACTGCAGTGGCCCTTCCCAGATGGCTCAGCCTGTGGAGATGTAGGGCCGCTGCCAGTTCCTTCCCTTGGGCTGGTCCCGCCATTACCTGCTCCTACTGTCAAGCCCACGGAACTTGAGAACTGCTCATACACCTTTTCCCTTCTTGAAAGCAACTCATCAAGCTGCATACAGCCAACAGCACATGCCCAGAAGGATTTAGACAAGCCTACGAGAGCAAAGCACACATCACACTTCGTTATGATCCTGATATGCACATGCCGAGAAGCATTTAGGCAAGCCTACGAGAGCAAAGCACACACCTCATACTCTGTTATGATCCAGATATTCTCACAGTGCAGAAACTCAAAGAAAGGCAAATCTGTTCCATTGTAATTGAAATGAAAGAGATTGGAAAGAGAAAAACCAAAGGAGGAAGAAGAATGGAGTATGGAAGAAGAAGAAGAAGAAGATGAACACAAGCAAGACCCAATATCTCTTCTCCCAACCACAACATCTCTCCCAACATTTTCCTTCCTTAACACTCTTTAATTGAATAGCGGGTCTCGCGTAACGCTCCCGCAAGATCCCGCTTTCCGCTGTCGGGAAATGCGGTGGGACCGGCAGGCGGGCCCGACAGATACCGTGTGAGATCGTCGGAGCAGGCCGAACCGGTCACCGCCGTTGCAATTGTCGAGCGGGCCCGGGTAGGACGGCCAGATAGAAGTTTTTCCCCGAAACTTCTATCTGACCGTCCAACCCGGGTCCGCGCGGCAATCCCAACGGCGGTGCTGCTTCGTGATGTTTCGATTCGCTGCATGCGGTTCGCGCTGTGGTGCTCGCTGCGGACTGTCTGGTCGTCCAACCCGGGTCTGCGCGGCAATCCCAAGGGCGGTGCTGCTTCGTGACGTTTCGGTTCGTTGCATGCGGTTCGCGGTGTGGCGCTCGCTGCGAGAGAGAGGGAGATACATTGGGGCGCTGCCTCCTAGCGTTTGCATGCCGCGAGAGATCGCTGTGCTCGGTTCGACGAGAGAGAGAGGGAGACGCAGAGAGAGAGAGAGGGAGAGGGAGAGAGAGGGAGAGAGAGAGAGAGAGAGAGAGAGAGAGAGAGAGAGAGAGAGAGA